CGCCGCGACCGCGACCGGAACCCCGCTCCCCCGGGACGCGCATCGCGGCAGGGGAGCCCCGCACCCTCCCAGCGCGCGGCCCGGGAGCCCGCCCTTCACCTCGGGTCTGGAGAGTGAGCCCGTCCCCCACCCCCAGCCCGGGGTCCAGGCGGCTCCTCTCCCATCCCCACCGTGGGGCACCCCTCTCCCGGGGCTGGAATGGGGGGGGTCAGCCCTCGGGACCGTCCTTGGCGGGGCAGGCAGGGCTTCCCCACCCCCACACACACCCCCTTGCTGAAAAGGCTAATCATCCAGCTGCCGGACAGCTGTGGGCCCTTCCTTCCCGACACAGGGGCTCTCGGGTGGCGCCCCCTCCTCGCACGGTACCGTCTGCGGGTTGAGCAGCGGTTGAGAGGAGCCCAGGCCTGACTCCCCGAGGCCACCAAGGCTGGGCAGGTGGGCGCGGCAGCAGGAGGAGACCCTCGGCTTATCCCCTCAGGCCTCCTGAGCTCGGGTTCAACCACATGCATAGCAGCACCCTGGCCCTGTCTTCCCGCCCGGATTGGGACATCAGGGAAATGCCGTGGCACCTCCAGGCTTCTGCAGCGGGAGGGGACTGCCAGCTGCCCATGCGCCTGACTGTGTCCTTCTACCTGGCTGGATGCAGCCCAAGTCCTCAACAGTTCTCCACCCAGACAGCTGAATTTTATTTTATTTTATTGATTGATTGATTGATTGATTTTTTCCGGTACAGGGAATCGAACTCATGACCTTGCACTTGCCAAGCAGGTGCTGTGCCGCTGAGCTAAATCGCCAGCCCCCAGACAGCTGAATTTTAGATGGGCCATGTGGGACTCTGGGTCACCAGGAGAGAGGACAAATGGTAACTATGCAGAATGCTTGCCATTTTATATCTCCCATATTTCAGACATAAGCTCTTTGTGCAGACAGGTGGGCATCCCTGAGAGGCCCATCTGCCTCTGTGTTGGTGATGAAGGACACGGGCACCCAGGGACACTGGCCAGCTGCCAGTTTGGGGCGCAGGACTCTGGCAACTGCCCATCCTGGGCCGTGGGAGAGAAGGCAGAGATGGTGAGGGGGCTCAGGAGCAGGGTCCTGGCCAGGATGGGCTGAGGGAAAGAGAGTTCTCGGGCACTCGGTTTGACTTCCGGTCACTTCTGTTTCCTGCAGCTTGGGGAGGAGGGGGCAGGGGCAGACCCTGAGTGGTGAAGCCCGCGGTGCAGCCCAAAGTGAATGCCTGCCTGGGAGGGGAGAGGGTGAGGGGCTGTCACCGTGGCAACCTCGACCCTTGAGGGAGGCGGACAGCTGAGATGTGGAGGAGAGAGAGGCCCCTCCTGGGACTCAGCAGAGATGGGACAGGAACACCTTTCACGCCCAAGTCCTTGTATGTAAATGCCACGGAGGAACTGCCAGGGGCTGGGGCCACTGTGGCCGCTGTTGGTTCCTGCTGAGTCCTGCTGGCGTTTGGACCTCTTGCTTTTCTTCTGAGAACGAGTCTGTCCCAGCGCCCGGACATCTTGGCCAGGCCCAGCCCTCTCCTTTCTGCTCCAAGTCCCTCTTCCCCTCTTCCCAGAGCCAGGGGACACATTTTTCTCAATCGTCCTTGTCAAGGAGTCTCCTAGTCTGTTTGAAAAAGCGGAAGTTCTAAGCCCAAATCTTTTTGATAAATTAAAAACTAGACATAAAGCCTGTCCCTTGGTTATGAGCTGGAAAATGAGGTGTGTTCTAATAAGCTTTCACTTGGGTCAGTGTACTCTCTTTCCATGTTCTGCTTTAAAAGAAACTTCAGGTTAGTTTACCTGTAAGAACCTCCTTACAGGGCTTTATACCCTGGCCCGTGATCTATGGCTTGGCTTATGACGTTAGCTATTCGGGAGGCTAAGGCAGGAGGATCTAAAATTTGAGGCCAGCCTGGGCAACTTAGCAAAACCCTGTTTAAAATTTTTTAAAAGGGGCTGGGGCTCTAGCTCAGTAGTAGAGTATTTGCATAGCATGTGTGAGGCCCTGAGTTCCACCTACAATACTTAAAGGGCCTTTATTTAAGTCATTCTCTTTCTTGCAAATGTTTAAAACCAACAGGTGCAGAGGGACATACCGCCGATCACCTGTGCCACTCTCTGGTCTCCCCAAGTTCCCCAGGAAAATTCAGTCATCGAGCCATGCCTGGGGTCTCACGGTGGTGACGAGGTGGCCCCTGTAGGCGCAGTGCAGCCTCCTGCTTTCCCCAAGTGGGGACTGAGGCAGGGCCGTCCTACTGTCTCTCAATAGCCCCCAAGCTTTCCTGAGGAACAGCCCTTGTCCACAGGCTTGGAGCAGCCGGCAGGGCAGAGGTGGGTCACAAGAGGCATCAGCACCACAACCAGTGAGCGGAAAACATGTACATAGGCATGTATGTATTATTTAGCAGAACTGGGATTGAACTCAGGACATTTGCCCTGAGCTACATCCCTAGCAGCCCCCTGGCCCCTTTTTGAGACACGGTTTTGCTAAGTAGCTAAATTGCCCAGGCTGGGATCAAACTTGTAGTCCTCTGTCCTCACTCTCCCAGAGGGCGTGCCCCACCATGCCCAGCTAAGAATATTTTTTTAAAAAGAGCCCAAAAATCAGGTGCCCTAGTCCCAGCTATTCAGGAAGCTGAGGCAGGAGGCTCACTTAAGCCCAAGAGTTTGAGGCCAGCCTGGGCAGTACAGTGAGTTCTTGTTAAATACATAAACAAACAAACAAACAAAAATTAAAAAGAAGCTGAAACCACCCTTTGGTCATATTTTCCACTTTGTCTTGTGGAAAAATCACAAGCAACCATGAGCAAATCTCCATTTAAGAAGGTTTCAGTAGCTAACTGGGCTCCTGTACTCTATAAATGCACCCCTGCCTGCCTCCTCCAGGGTCCGGCGTCCTCCCCCATGGGGTGCAGCACTTGCCGCTCCTCCCTTGCCTGGGCGAGGGGGTCTGTATCAACCCTGGGTGTGGTTGGGACCCTGGCCGGAAGTCCCTCTGTATCCACCCCAGCGCAGGCAGGAGCGGGCGGCCTGCTGTGGCTTCCCACGGTCAGCAGAGCCGGTCAGGCAGATGAGGACAGTGTGACTGGGCTGACAGCCCTGCTTCCCGGTACAGGCTGTGCTGGAACCCACAGCCGGTGTGCTAATGGGCTCCGCACTCAACAATGACCCATCGAGAGTCATTGTCAACTTGTCATCTTCAAGACGGCCCAGTGTGTGGCAGACAAAATGGGTCACCGTTAGAGTAATGGAAATCAAGCAGAAAGCAGCATTTCACCCCTCTTGTGAGCTGGCTCGTCTTCCCTTAGAAGCTCTGCTCACCACCACCCAGAAAAACAACCTGAATAGGACAACCCCCACAAGCAAGGGACCTGAGGACATCTGCACTGTGATCCTGCATGGGAGCCTGTCCCCCACTGACCTGGCACTGGGGCTGTGCCAGGGATGTGAACAGCGGAGGTCCCCAAGCTCCCGGAAATGACAGGAGTGGAGCCTCGAACACTGCCGATCACGAGAAAGAGGCCCATGGGTTCAGGGAGCCAGACCCGACAGGTAGGCAGGTAGAGGGGGCCCCTGAGCGTTCCAAGAGGAGGGGACACATGGGGAGGCTCTTTTTTGTCCTTCTCCTTTCTTTCTTTCTTCTGCCTAGAAGGTAGATGCAAGAGCTGGAGGCACGCAGCTATTTTGGACCACAACATGATGGCTTCGGATGACAGAGAGCAAGACCCAAGGGTCCTAGGTGCTGGGTCACCCTCAGACTGGGTCTCCGAGCTGCTGCTTCTAGACTTATTTCACAACGGAGACAAATGCACTTCCTCTTGTTGAAGCCAGTGTTCTTTGAGGGTTTTCTGTTATCT